ACCAGCACTGTTTGCGCTGGTTTGTCTCGGAAAGCTTCCCTGCCGGTGGGAGCCTCCGGCGGCCGAGGTTGGCCCGGCTACTCCTCCTGAAGAGGATGAGGCGGAGCCAAGGTCTCCGGGGCGTACATGGGGAGGGATTACCTCTTCGCTGCGCTGAAATGAAGCTCGTGTCTTCTTATCTGTACCCGATGCAACATATGCACATTATAACAAATTAGATTAGTATTAATTGCCGATCAGCTATAAATACAATAAACATAACTCATTCACATAAATAAGAATAAGGCAAGCTTTACGCAAACTTTAAAACTCTTTTGGTGTTTGGTAAACTTGAGCATATCATGGCAACTTAAATTTCCCAATACTAGGAATAAATTAGAGTACGAGGTGCAGAGAAGAAGCTAGAGATAAGTGATCTAGACCAAATGCAAATATCTAAATAAAGTAAGAATTCTTAAAGCAGTTAATAAAGTCATAGGACAAATCACCCTCATGGTCACTAATGAATATGCTCTTAAAGTAGATTTTTGATACCCTGCGTTAATTTCATACAATTTTTAGGCAATCATGCAGTTGATTTAAAGACAACCTATGCTTAATTTCGATAGTAATTTTTATCAATACCATCATTAAAAATGGATTTAGTGGGCTTTATGATGAATGTGAGCGCAAAGACTTTCCAGATATTTCTAAGAATAAAATTTTAAACAACCAATAGAGTATTTTACATACTCCACTAATTTTTTAAGCTAGCGATGCAACTACGACTACTAAGAAGATTTGCGTCCTAGACTATAATGCGCAGCCTACCCACTAAGGCTGATGTTGGATTGTCGAACTGCGAACGGGCTATTATAGCATACACTACTTTAAGCATATGAGAAGTCTATTAAAGTAAGATACTCTGGCCTAGTGCTCGGGCAGATCCTAGATAAACTGATTTAAACGCCATTTTAGGTGAAAATTAGCTTCTTATTAAGTTTTCTTCTGCTATGTAACAGAAATCGTCAAAGCGAGATGTCAATCTTTAAGAAAATTTACCAAACAGTTAGTTGGTGCCGACGACGCATTGAGGAACTACATTCTCTAAATAAAATTACCTATGCTCTCAACCAATAATTGGAGTGATTTTGGCTGAATACCTAATGCAAAAGCCGCTTTCAGATTTAGAACTAAGATATTACTCCCAACTATGACCATTTATCTACCGAGTAATAGAGCAGTTGAAAAAGCTTCTTGCAAAAAATGTTCGAGTATACTCTCTAGAATGTCATTCCGCAGCCTGACAGAACATATTCAACAAGATAGATCCCGAATAGAATATTTTGTATCATCTACCCTTTCAAATGACAGAATTTCCTGTGCCCATATCTTTAGAACGATCGCAAATATGCGAAATAATCATGAGATCAAATATGAAATTTTGGACTTTTCGTCATCAAATCCAACCCTCTTCTGTAAAGAGGGGACTGAAAATCTAGCCTTCAGGTGATAAAGTGCATATTATACCAAGTGTGTTGACAAACACCCTACATTATAAACTTATGGCTTTTTATATAAGAAGACGACATTACATTATAGTTCCATAATAGTAGTACTGCTATAACAAGATTAAATAATAATGAGTTGAAATATTTTAAATCTTGGAATATTGAACTTTTAGTTTGGGTTTTGTTTTGTCCAAGCTTCTCAAGATGGCTCCGATATCTGTGAAACAATTGTGTTCAGTCATCCTAGCCATTCGAGTGACAACAAAAATGAAAGCATATTAGCTATTTCTTATCTACTGACAATTAAGAGAGCCATATTTACGGTTTAAGTAAAGAGTTGAATAAATTCTAAGCTTACTTCTCTCATTCTCAGGACCAATCTCTGGCTGTCCAACCACGAATTCATATCTCACCCTCCAAAGATGAACTTATAATTTCGATCATGTATGCTTTAATCAGTCATCTCACATGTAATTTCTGTGACACATATATCGGTTTATGCAATCCATATAATTCTAACGTATGAAAGGTCAAATGCTAAAGTTGCAACTAGTTAGCTGGAGCAATATGTAAGTGTTTTGCAGAGTCAAGCCTCAGAGGCATGCTGCGTAGGGACTCGAAATGAGGGTTAGGCTAAGGCGCAGATTTGAAAGTGGTTTATTTATTTATCCATTTATTTATATATATTATTTTAAAACTTCATTTATAAACATTTAGTGCCGCCAAGCGCAAAACCGTTGAGATGGGTTGGCTGGATAAGAGCAGAAGACTCGCTCACCAAGATTCGAAGTGCTGCTACTCTTTCGTGATAGACCCAGAACAGTAGAAAATTTCTGCCCGATACTGGGCCGCCTCTTTCGGCCACTGGAAGCACCAGACTCATTGCCTCTAGCCGACCTCGGGTGTCCGATGCCGGGCAGTTGGTCGGAGGCTGAGAGCAAGACCGGAGTCGGCGCCAGACTCGCCCGACTCGACTGTCCGGGACTCGGGCTCGTCGATTTGGTGGCGACCAGAGCTGAGGCTGAGGCTGCGCTGCCCGTTGAAATGGAGGCAAAGCCTGGATCTGAGGCACCGCTCGCTTTACTTCGCTTTCCGTTGCCGCCCAGCCCACCTTCGCTTCGAGCCCCAGCAGAGACTATGGCTCTGGTCGTGATGTTTGAGGGCGTTGAAGAGCCAAACTCGCAAGAAAACTTCGGACTGTTGACCGTATTGCCACCGCCGAACGCATGGGCAGCCGAAGGGGCCGAGGATCGAGCCCCCCGAGCTGTCGGCGGACCAGTGGCTCGTGCTCCGCGGACGCCAACCCCACTTAAACTGACTGTTCCACTCGCATGCACCGGTCGGCTAGCCACGCCGCCTCCGCCTCGGGTCTGTGGCCACTCTGACTGAGTCGACCGGAGGCTGGCCTTCGAAAGGTCCGAGAGATCGGAGACCTCCGAAATATCGGAGTGCACCCCGGGCTCCTCGTCACCTCCACTGTCACCACGACCAGCGCTGATTGCGTTTAAAGACAAGTTTATTTAGTGTAATGAGATGTTAGGTAGTCTCGAAACCCTACTATCATACGAATATAAGTTTATTTAGCCCTTTCAGACAATATAATGGCTAACTTAATGGTCACATTATTCATTTTTATGTTAGCCCCTCTAATAGTTGATCGGACAAAAAATCATAGGAGGATGCAGGTAAAGTGAAACTATCATATGCCATTTTTACCATCTTAATTAAGTAGGAGTTATGCTTACGACAAATAAAATAGCTTTTAAGCTTATCGTTTTGCTGATTATCGTATGTCTGCAACTAAACGCAAGATCATAATAACCATTGAAATCGACAGATTAGGCAGTGCATCGAATTTTTTTGTAATTTGGCTTCGAACAATTTACTAGATCTTATATAAAAGCTGTATTCATCCAAGTTAGCCAAAGTGATGAAGGACTGGTAGTTAAATTGTGTTACAATAATATGACTGAACCCCATATTTCCATTGAATTGCACCTAACCTTGCTTCCTCAAGGGTGTTTTCACCCATCCTAGATGGGTCTGCACTTTCAACCTCGCCTGTCTCAACAACAACCCTGACGTGATTCGGACCCGAGTGTATAATCTCTGCATTTTAACTACTACACCAAATTGCCACGAGTGCCCTTGGGAGACAGTGCAGACATGAATTTCAGGGAAGGCTAGGCTTTTTCCG